TGTCTCTCTGCACCTTTGCGTGCCTAAATGCCTTTGTAAAACTGATCCTAAGTGTCTCAGTGTAGGCAACCCCAGTTATAAAATGGTGGCCGGGGTATTTTCCGGGGTTATCATAGCACCCTCACTAGTGCCGCTTCTCGAGGATCCAAAAGTGACTTCCCCTTTCATTAAAGTTTACCTGCATCTTGAGGCTAACTTTCCTCCCAAGTTAGCAAGAAGCAGGATTTCACAGAGGTTGACAGGAACGTCCAAATCCAATGCAAACTAAAACTAAACTTTTATAATATAAATAGATAATCAGAGCAAAAATACAGCTAATGAGACGTGTGCCTACCATCATCATAACCACTTCACTTGTATGTTATATTGCTGCCCCTCGCCCTTCATCTGTTCCTTGTCCTTAAATTATAAACTCTTCAGGGCAAGGACCAGGGCTTTCTATACATGATATCACGAATGAACCGTTAAGCCTCTTGTGTTCTGCTCTCCTAGAGAAAGTACATGTTGCAAGCCCACCACATGGATGATTATGGGGCATTGTTTGACCAAAGCTCAGTGTTTGGCAAAAAAATTTTTCTTTCTGCCGTCTGAACTGGAGACAAGTTAGTAAGCATAAACTATAGCTGATCTCAGTAGGAAGAAACGGGTAGGTAGCCAATAGGGAGCTGTCTCGTTATGTAAATTTTTAAACATCTTCCAGAGGAAATAGGAAGAGCTGAATCACTGCAGACCAACCATCTCTCTGACCATCACCGCTACCAGATCCCTCAGAGGAAAGTGCAAGGAAACCTGTGATGGACAATGAAGGAATAACCTGCAAAAGCACAGAGCCGAGTGCACCATCTAGCACTCATGACCCTCATGTCAATTGCTGACACTCCCTGAAAGACCTGGAGTCATAGAGGGACCACCAGATCATCTAGTCAGATCTCCTGTACAGCACAGGCCACCAACACCCACACTAAGGCCACCCGAAATCAGACAAAAGCATTACAGCCCTGAGGAGACACAACTATTATGTGCCACGGGCCACAACAAGAATGGCTGAAGTGCTCCAATGCTTAAGGCCCATGAACTGGCAGGACGTTGATTAAGTGAGATATGCTCAGAGGATCCAGGCAAGTGCCCCATGCTGTAGAGTCCATAAACCAGAGAATAACTTGCTCTGTGCTCATGTTTTTTCTATCTGAGACACTGGCTGTTGAGCATCTTCCTTTTCATTCAAACATCAGAAAAGTGACTATATAAAAATGACTCATGGATCCAAGAGAAGTCAGGTTGAATTGGAAGATGGAAAAAGACATCTTTTTTATTTCTAAATGACCATTTTTGAATTCTAAGTCAATGAGGCAAATAAACAGCACTCCCACGTTGTCACGTCCCACAGCGTAACTGCACTTTGACTGACTGCTTCAGATCACCCGGTGAGAGGACGCCGAATGGAAATGACTAGGCTGGGGACAGCAGGCCTGTCACATGCTGACTCTTACATTGTCATACTACAGCCAGCTTGCAGCATATCAGTGCCCTGGCTGCACATCACAGACAAAGAGCTGACAAGCCTTTCATTTAAACATGGCATGAGATGTACTACAAAAAGCATCCGCTATCATTGCACAATGCTGCAATGGACATTGGAGAGACAGTATAGAGCTGGGCTGTATGTATACTGTGTTTCCATCACTCTCGATTAGGCTAGGATGACAGAGAGCAATTACTAAGTATAAACCACGTTCAGATCTGGTGTGACTCCTTGGATTGGGGGCTGCTGGAAGCGGCGGCCAGTAAGTCCCTCGGCCCATGCCACTTCCCGCAGCCCCCATTGACCTGGAGCAGCGAACCGCGGCCAGTGGGAGCCACGATCGGCCGGACCTGCAGACGGGGCAGGTAAACAAACCAGCCCGGCCCACCAGGGGCTTTCCCTACACAAGCGGCGACCCCAGTTTGAGAAACACTGCCCTAGAGAGATTTACTGTTGGAGAAGGAATTGCAACGCAGATGTCCTGGTTCCCAGTTTTCTGTTCCAACTAGACCCTCCATAGTCTGGCTGAACAACTATTTATTGGATTTCCATTGCTTCCAGAACAATCTGCTTCATGTTCTGGCACGTAGGAAAGAGCCAGCCATTCTGCATGTGGAAAACGGATTTCAGAAACTTGCTGATGCAGATTCCCAGAATAACTGCGCAAAGGAATGGTACCCGTGACTCACCAAAGGCAAGAAACCTTGTAAAAGAGAGAGCAGCTGTTACTGTCCATTGCTCAGTGAGCTGTGTCCTAAATAATTGTTTCTCTCAGGCCTTATTGTAGCAAAACAAAAAGGCTTTCAGACGGCACTATGCATTTAAAACAAAAAGCCCAGTTCCGGAGGCTTACGTTTGCCCACTGAGGTGTGAAATAAAGAATATTTCCCAAACCCAGCTCTTGCTTTCAAAGGCACTTGGTACAAATCGCATATATGTGTTTCCATGAGGAATGTGGGTTCTGTAGTGGTGACAGATGCTGGATTGGCAGCGTTAGATAATACCTTTCTCCATTGACACCCACAACGGATGCAGCATGAGCAGTGGCCATGGAAGTTTCCTCACTCAATTAAGGTGCCGCAGCCGAGAGCTGGAGGAAGATTTCTAGGCTGTCACCTCCGTAATACTCGCCCAAGATTATAATTCACCACTTGTGCAGCTTTACTGATGGTACCAGTGATGGAGGCTCTAGTGTAGACCAGGCTGAGGCCCTTTTACCACCATGTCCTGACTTTCCTAGCACAGACACCGCTTCAGAGATCAGAGCGTAATTCAGCCTTCAGACCCCTTTTCTGCTTCATCTTTTTACTGAGACTACCAACAACTGTGATGGTGGGTTTTGTGAGGTGCACGTTTGCTCACAAAGAAATAGATGAAGCAGCCACCAAATGAATTCTTAAGCCTGATTTCTCCCCCTCCTGCCTGGGTCCACACACAGACAGACACTGCACAGACCTTCCCATCTCTTCTGTTTACAAGCTGTGGGAGAGACCAAAGCAGGCAGATTTTTTTCCCCTCCAGTATTTATTGTTTTAACAAGACTAGTATACACCAGACTTAGAAGAAACAACATCATCTATATTTTTTAACCCCAAGGACTGGAAGATTTGTGTTTTGAGAGAACAGAGAATACAGAATCTCTTATTTACCATAAAATTTGGTGAATATCAGAATTTTGCTAAAACCTATCAGGGTGGCAGAGAAAGTTGCCTTGACTTGCTCCTGAGCTTCTCTCAGAAGGATGGTCCAGTGATTAGGATGATAGTCTGGGGCTCGGTAGACTTGGGTTCATCTCCCTACTCTGACACAGTCTTCCTGTCTGACCATGACCAAGTCACTTAGTCTCATGCTGTCTCATTGCCTCCGCTATAAAATGGGGATAGTATCACTTTCCTAGCTCCCAAAGGTGCTATGAGTATAAATACATTAAAGACTGTGAGGCACTCAGATATTACTTCAAGGAAGGGCTATCTAAGTACCTCAGATAGATAGAACTTGTCACCAGAGAAGGTGGAAAGTTCCACAATGTACAGACCGAAGTGGACCATTCTGATTGAAATAAACCAGGATCAAGAAGTTATCATGAAATATATAATGCCAAACATCTTGCAGTACAAAGTGAGATTGAAAATCAGGGACCCCAGGAAACAGTCTCTATATGTCACATTTCAGTGGTGGGGGTGGGTAAATGTACCATGCCTTAGATAAACTTTATTTTTTTATCAGAGGCTATGAGGGAGGCACATTTCTGACTGCAGATAGCAATAAAGACATCGTTCTCTGTCTCTGTAATTGAGATCCATGGGGGCCCCACTCCAGGATGGCTATACATATTGTTCCCTGGGGGACTAGGAATCACTAGACTATAGGATTTCAGGGGATCAATGCAGCGATCGGCAGAGTGGGGCAAACAGCTGTGCCTGGAAATATGGAGTCGATTTAACAAACCACAGGAAATACACCTTGTGACCATAATTCAGTGTTGCTTCAGGAATCAAAATATGGTCTTTCTTCTTCTGCCTAGCATGCACACATCTTGAATAATTACTTTGTCTTGTGTGCTTAAACCCAGAAACAAGTTCCTAGAGCAGGAGACTGAGAGCTTCTGACTCTGCCATTGGCTGCTAGCATGACCTTGGGCAAGTCACTTAACCTATCTGTGTGTAATTTAGGAATCTGTAAGTATTTCCCTTAGTCTACCTCCCAGCAGCGCTGTTGTGAGGCTTAGTCAATATTTGTTGACCACTTTCAAGTCCCATTTCAACAAGATACTGAAGCATGTGCCCAACTGTAAGCATGTGAGTAGTTCTACTAAAGTTAATGCTTAAAGTTAGGCTCTTGTTGACTCAGGGCCAGAGGGCTTTGGATGAAATGTGGCACTGTGGAACTGCAAGGTATTATATTCCCACCGAATGTCAAGTAAGCATGGGATCAACCAGCATGGAGACAGTATTTCCCTTACAGGTTAAACTTCAGCCAAATTCCAGCTCACCAACCTATAAAACACAAAACTAATATGACTGATATAAGTCATGACTGATATAAAGGAGCTGGCCTGTCATGCCATTTGATCACTCAGTTACCTCCAGAGTTTTTAAACCTCATTTTATCTGAGTATTTCTCTATAAAACATCCTTTATTCTACCCATTACACGGGGTTCATTCTTTTGTTGAGGTCACTGACCTGATAAAATCCAGAAGCGCCTGACAAATAGTTTGATGTGTGCAATTGACACAAAGTTTGAGTCATCTGGACATGTTCCCTCCTACCTCAGCTAGTCTACTGAACACCAATCACATGACAGTGACTTTGCACTTTGTTTACTTTGATCCAATTATCCAGTACAAAGCTCTGATGTCTATTGTTTGAGTTGATAAGTTAACACTCTGCTGTCTAAGCAATGAAGCCACTGGGGCTCATAACATTATCTAACTGTATTTTCTGTTCTCTGACACCAGATGCAGTAAATTACATTTACTCCCAGATCCCCGAACTCCCAACCCTCTATTCACGAACAGCAGAGCCAGTTCCTGGGTGGGACGGACCAAGCAGGGTAACTGGTAAGTCTCAAGGAGATCTGTATTCTATTAGCCAATCCAGTAGACACAAACTTCTGTTTATATATATTAACCTTAATGGGACTGGTGCCCAGATATAGTTTAAGTGCCACATGATTTGTATTCTGTGAACAAGTCAAGGCTCTTTGAACAGCAGTGACCAATTTCAAAGTCATTTATTTATATTACATACTTTGTGAGTCCTAAAAAGTAGCATTGTACACTTGGCAGATTTCTTTTTAATGGAAGCATTCAGCTTGATTCTCTCTCCATCTCTGCTGATGTAAATGTATGGAATCTAGGCCATGATAATAGCACCTTTCCTGCACCACACAACTTACATTGAGATGAATGAGACACACACACACACCAATATGTGCGTAAAACCTTACAGAACAGAAAGGAGCTGTTTATTTCAGCACAATGCTTAACTCTTTCGGGGGCAAAAAAAGGTGTTACATGCCTTTGTGTTTTAGGCTGTGGCTACAGAATTTCAGCCTCAATGCGTTTCTAAACTGGAGCAATTTATGAGCAAGATCCTAGCTGTTGATTTTACTTATCTTTTCAATATTGTTCTATTCAAAACCATATGCTCCATGCATTAATGCCAACATGCAGCTCGATACGTCACTGCCATCACAGAGTAGCAATAACGAAAGATGGTACATTGGCATTCCAATTATTTCATGCAGCAAGAGAGTGTATCGATTTGAGGTGCGATCCACAAATGGGGGACCCTTCATTTGGTTGAGCTCCTCTTTGCAGGGCACCCAGAAAGCGCATCCCAGTGCTAAATCTGACCCGCCTTAGACAGAGATTGATACACCCCATTTGCCTGTGTGTTTGTAGCTCCATTGTGTCAAAAACACGAAAAGAATAGTCTCTGCTTGTGTATTTCTTTGATAACTGGACTCCATGCACTGCAACAGCTTAAAGAACAGGGCAAGCAGCACACACAGTCAAGATTATTTAACATAAGCTTTGTTTTATTACATGTTTAAAGATTGTTGAGAACATCTTTTTAAAAAGTGACAGACTTGATAGCTCTGTTTTTAAAGACCATTTAACAGGCAGAAGCAGTACTCCTTAACATGTACTCTGGGATGTTATTCTTATGAAATACTAAATCAGGTTACATTGTAATTAAACTTGTACAGAACGTGTACTAACAGTAATGCAGGCTCTCGTCTTCAAGTACTGTTGTACTTTCAACGCTTCACTATCAACCAATTTCCAACCGTATTAATAAGTTGTGCTTTTTGCTGTTTGATAAGAACTGCAAAGACAAATATTAATCACATGGTTTATTTTTCAACAACTTTTGGAAGTATTATACTAGAATCCCATTTCATCTGCAAGTAGATTAACAAAAGCAAAGGTTAGCAAAGTTCTCTCGTTCTGCTTTTCCCATGGTAATACATTTCAGCTAGGGTCTGCTTATAAAGGGTCCAATTGTGGAATATTTGCTTATATCAATGTGCATTTACTCACAGGAGGAGTTTTAATCAAGTCATTGGCACTACTTCTGTGAGTAAGAGCTAACTAATGTAAGAGTCCCAGTTGCGACATTCTGAAATCAATTTGAAGGGAATAAACGAATATGTAACAATGACAATAAGCTCCCAAATCAGTGCCTTAATACTTAAAGATATAACCACATCTGTTAATTTCTAAGGCCTGGTCTACACTAACCCCCCCACTTCGGACTAAGGTATGCAAATTCAGCTACGTTAATAACGTAGCTGAATTTGAAGTACCTTAGTCCGAACTTACCGCGGTCCAGACGCGGCAGGAAGGCTCCCCCGTCGATGCTGCGTACTCCGCTCACCGAGCTGGAGTACCAGCGTCGACGGCGAGCACTTCCGGGATCGATCCGGGGCACTTCCGGGATCGATCCGGGATCGATTTATCGCGTCTTAACCAGACGCGATAAATCGAACTCAGAACATCGATTGCTTACATCCGGACCCGGATGTAAGTGTAGACGTACCCTAACACAGATGAGCAGTGAGAAAACAGTTCCTTCCTTCCAACTAGTGTTTTAAATTGTCATTGATGACAATCTTCCAAGTGTTCTGAATTCTTTTGAAACTCTGACCCTAAATGCCTAGGAGATCATTGTACATCAAGAGTTGACATCTGGACAAAGAGATGCATCTTGCAACTCTTTCTAAATGTGGACAAGTCGGTACTTACTTGTATTTCTGGAGACCTTATTCCAAAAGTGTGGAGCTGCTGAGTCCTGCAAGGTCAGATATAGATGCCGGCACCAGTCCTCAAGCCTTCCATAGGTGCAACTCCCATTGACTTCAATTGGGTGTTCCGCACATGGAGGGCTTGGAAAATCACAGCCCTGTTCTGCATTAAACAATCTGAACTGCCTCACAGCTGAAATAGACACACCATTTGAAAATGACAGCAACTTTTACATGACTGAGCGCTGAAGTGTTTGCCCACGAGGAGCCTGAGTGTTTCAGAGCGGTCAGGTGACTTGCTCGATATCAAAAATCAAGTCAGGGCAGAACCAGTGCTGGAACCCTGAGGTTCTGACTCCCAGCCCCAGGCCCTAGCCCCTAGATGACACTTCCTCCCAGAAATCCCAGCCAAAAACAAGCAAGCTCCTGGGGTTCTTCTTCTCTTGTTTAATCATCTTCATGTCTCTGTAACTTGGATTTAAGGTTCAAATAAGAAGTACTAGATGAGACTTTAGAAACACGAGTCTCAGAGATCCCAAAATGGGGACAAACCAAACAACAGAAACATGCTACTCGTCATGTATTATCCCTAATGATACACATGGAGACACTAAAACCAATCAGCCAATTAAATAGCAACAAAGAATACAAACCAAGGTTCTGCTTTAAATGCTCCGAGCTAACTTCAGCCCAGCCCTCTGCTGTACTTGTACACAAGCGCAGGAAGCTGTCGTAGGGGCCTCTTATTCCACACATCCAGTCACGGCACAAGCAGCAGGGCATGATCCCTTCATAACACTGGACAGAGCACTGAATGATATGGCAGATTAAAGTGATGGCCTGTGACTTGGGGAGCTCATAAACCCACTCCAGTCTGCAAACGTGTGTTGCCCTCAGGAGCAAGGGTTGGCGAGCAAATGAATAGGACCACACTGCACTCCTCCTGCTTGGAGAAGCAGTGAAGGACACTTCACAGCATCTCTCCTTGGCATGCACTCTAATCTAGCGATTCATAAGGGCACCGGCCGGGTAGATACAGGCAGTCATGCTTTTTCCTGTCAATAAGCTATAGGAATTCCTGTTTCAGACAGTTGTCTTGCTTACCTGCTGGGCACTGGACAGAAAGGTGAATTTGGAAGACAGCAGGCTGGTGAGCCACTAACTGCCTCACTCAAGGAGTCCCATGTGGGAGGACCAAGAACTAGCACCCCTCTTCCCCCCTTAAACTCAGCTCTTGTCTTTGTGAGCAAAAGCATGGGGGAACTGAAGAAGAGGGCGGGAGAAAACTGACCAAGCACTGAGGTGTAAATCAATAAATACATACAAGCAAATAAAGTGGGACTGTCCCACTTTATAAAGTCAGTAGGGTTATAGAAAACCTTCACTGTGGCTGCTCAGAATTTTGCTGGCTGTAATCTCAGATGCATGGTGCATAGCTCCAAGTGTCTTAAAAGTGTTTAACGCAGTAGTGGATTTCTCTAGCTATGCAAAGAGAAGTCTATTAAGTTTATTTATGCAATAAACTATTTAACTTTGCTGCACCCAACCAAAAGAGTGAGAACTGTGTTTTTCTCCGACAATTATTATATGCTCCCTCTGCCTATGACAGAGTTTGGCCCTAGGAATCTACACATAAGCTTGATAATATGGTGAGGGAGTAGGGAGAATTGAAACCATGCTCAGGTAATTTTTATGTTACCACTATTTTCAAGAAAAATGTATATGGATTGTATTGAATATCCGTCCTAGAAAATGCAGCACTGCTAATGGACAGTGTAACAATTTACATGGGGTTGGGTTTTTTTGTATTCACCAATAAGTGACGGTCTCCCCTAGTAAGAGAAATCCTCATAATTTTGTTGTGGTCCATTGAATTGGAATTTTCATGAGACAGCGTGGTAAGTTTCACAACAGCTGGCGACAGCTCCCATCATGGCAACTGCAATTAATTGTGCGTTTGTACCTTTTAAGGAGACAAAATGTTTTCATCTTCATATAAGGAGCACTTAAATAGACAGTTCTGTTCAGACAAGCTGAGAGACCTTTACAATTGTACCTTGAAAACTGAGCTCTAGAGTTTGCACCATGACCTTAGAATGAGGGCTATAGTTGTGTGTGGGCTGCCTGTCTACCCCACTGTGTGGTGATCACAACGCTCTTGTTGTTACTGCACCTTTCTTAACTCTTTCATGCCGGGGAATGTTTTCCTTGTTAGTCTGGAATTCATGTGTGTCTATTACCCTTTGTTTGGTCCAGTTTTGAAATCAAGTTCACCCCTATCCTGTCTCCCCTTTGAAAACAATGTTTAGGAATCCATAAAAAGGATCTGCTTGGGTACTTCTGTGCTTTTTTTTTTTATGTGTACTTTTCATTACAATCCAAATGTTAAAAACACACCTAACTTCCTTCAGTTACTTACTGATCCAGTGGACAGAGGACTGGACAGGAAGCCAGGAAAGCTGAGTTCTGTTCTTAGTTCTGCCATTGACCCGCGGTGTGAGCTGGGCATGTCATTGATGTGATCTGTGCCTCATCTGTGTAGCGGGGGATAATGATAACTACCAAGCTTTGTAAAGTGCTTTGAGAGCTATGGATGAAAGGCATACCTAGGAGTAAGTATTCAAGAATAAAACAAGCTGTCAGGGGCATTTTATTCCTTCCCAAACAAAATTTTCTAGCAGCTGTTTATGGGCTGGATGGTAGGAGGGGGAGCACTTCAGGAGCTTTGAGATCAATTCTTCTTGGAACCTGAGGCAAGCACAAAGATGAAAGGCTGTGGTAGACCTGCATGTTGTCATCTCATTTTGTCAGAAGTACACCATGAGCCCACTTAACCTAAATGATCTTCACGCTTCTAATTGACCAGAACCCCTTTCTGCACAGATTTAGTTGGAAGAGTATCTCTAGTTTACAGCAGGAGTGCCTCGCATCCCGTTACATAAAGTACTGTATTGTAATAACCAGCTCTGTTCGCAGTATGCACCTCACTTCTAACGTAGAATGCTTGGCTCTTTAGAAATAGCTTCATAGGAAATGGGCACAGTAGTTTTCTCTGTCTGTTTGGCAATTAACCGTTCACTGGCTTTTTTTGTTGTAACATGCACTTCCTCTCTTGTTTTCATTCAAGCTTTGTACGCCATGGAAATTAATGTGGAGAAAGACAAACAGACCGGAGAGACCAAGATTCTCTCTGCATCACCTATTGGCCCAGAGGGGACCCATCAAAGAAGATTCAAAGTCTATGATGATGGTACCAAGGTAGTCTATGAGGTTCACTCTGGAAGCACAGTGGTAGAAAATGGAGTACATAAATTAAGCTCAAAGGATGTAGATGAACTTATACAGAAAGCTGGACAATCAAGTGTAAGAGGAGGGTATGAAATGACTGTGTCAGCCAGGAATGTGATAGCAGATGGAAACCTTAGCCATGTGAAGGAACAAATGCTCTTCAAAGAGGCAAAATTAGAAATGGTACATAAACCTAGCAAGGGGAATTCTGGGAATCCTCAACACCAAGCAAAAATCTCTGGAGATGAAGTCCCAGAGGCCAGCATGGATCAACCAGTGACAATGATTTTTATGGGTTACCAAAACATTGATGATGAAGAGGAGACAAAAAAAGTGCTGGGCTATGATGAAACTATCAAGGCAGAACTGGTCCTCATCGATGAAGATGATGAGAAGTCCTTGCGTGAGAAGACCGTGACTGACGTATCCACCATGGATGGAAATGCAGCCGAACTGGTCTCCGGAAGGCCTCTGTCTGACACAACAGAGCCCTCCTCTCCGGAGGGGAAAGAAGAAAGTCTGCCCATGGAACCAGTCCCAGGTACACAAAAGAAAAAGCGATGTCAATGCTGTATTATCATGTGACCACTTCTTCCTTCCCTGTTCTGAGCAGCACCTGCTCCATCACTTCCTTAGACCTCACTGTACTTCTAACTGCAATACTGTGAACTGGAAGTGAATGCCTCCATTGCCTTGCAGATGGGTTGCTTTGATTTCTAGTTCTTCAGGAAGATGCACACACGAATATTATTTTCCCACCAAACATACTGTTTGTTTTTTAGTTTTTAGAGTGAGAGAGAAATGGGAAAGTGAACAAACGCTTTCATATTTATTTGATTTTATATAAATATATATATAAAGAAAACACTTTTTATATTTTACTTTATATATCTGGCAGGATTGATCAGATTCCCAGTGTTTTGTGGGAGTCTGAATTTCACAGTAGCCAGGTATGAGAGCCTTAAAAAAACCATATTTTAACATTATTTTATAGATTTTGGGGGGTGGAGGGAGCATAGATCATTTTATCATTTTAATTTGCTAAAACTCAGACACACCCTTCTCAAAATGTTTGCATAATTTTGTTGTACATTAACTTTGGAGTTCATTTTGTGGCGTCAAAAAAATGCCATAGGCTATTTCTGCTTATTGGTAAAACCAAAAGTGGACCTTAATTATTCTTTCTAACAAATCACAAATGATGATTTTGCCTTATATAAATCTTCCAGATTACAGTATTGTGCATCTACTTTCTCTCCTTAAATTACAGTGGAAATTACCTTGACATCAAAAACATCCAGCTGTCACCACAAGTGAAATGTAGTTACTGATTTAATTACTTGCCTTTCAGTAACTCTGCCTATGTTTATTTATGAGATTTTTCTGCTGAACACCGGCATATGAGAGATACTATTTTTCAGTTTCCTTCGAACATGAATCATTTTACTGTCTGATCTTGCTCCCAGTGAAGTCAGTGGAAAAGCACCCATTGACCTCAATGGGAGAAAGTACGGGTTCTCACTTTGTACTTTCTTTCAAAGAAGCATTTCTTGATACGTGTAATCAAAGTAAACCTATACACGTACAGACCTAGGACCTGATCCTACCGTCCTTACTCAGGCGAGGTTCCCATGGAAACACATTGGAGCTTTACTTGAGTAGATATTTCAGAAGGAAGGATTATGTTGATTAGGCCAAGATTTCCAAAAGTGTCTAGCGATTTTGGATGCCTCATCTTTGGGGGGCGGAGTGGTGGGTGCTCTATTTGAGGCCCCTTAAAGCAGCTTGATTTTCAAAAACTGCTCACCTGCCCTCTGAAAATTCAGATCCTTCTCAAGCATCTCAAAGAGAGAATCGAAAACACTGAAGCATCCCAAAATCACTAATTGGTTCTAAAAATCTTGGCTTTTAGATTCTACTATCTACAGTGGAAAAGAAGTCAACTTTTTCCTGGCAAGACTACGGCCCTGATTCTGAACTAACTTGCACTGGTTTTACACCAGTGTAATTCCATTGACTTCAGGGGAGCTACTCCTGATTTACCCCAGTACAAGCGAGAGAGAAAGCAGCATCTATAATTTTTGGTGGTTAAATATTTTCAATCATGGTGATTATGTCAAAGTGTCTTTGAAATTACCAGACTTCCCCCCACAAAAAAAGAAGGGGGAAAAAAGAAAAAACGACCCCCCCCCCAAAACACCCCTCTTTCCAGGCTGAAGTGGCTTCTATGATATTTCTACTCTTTCTTGGATGGTGTTTTTACTGCATTAACTATTCGTTCTAAACATCTGATTAAACCGTTCTTGCTCTGAACTCTTTTCTTTCTGTGCCAGTAAGAAACATTTGTTTGTGGTAGCTATTATATGAGACATACAAAAAACAAAAAACAAAAGGAAAAGAAAGGAAAGAAGAAAAGGGACTTATGCTATTCCAGTTAGCCATTAATAGCAAACCTCTTACTTCACCTTTCACAGCTATCCAGTTGGCCCTTAGTGAAAGGCAAGTGGAGACTAGCAAATGATAGCCACATACACATGGCTCCTGCTGAAATCATACTAGCTGACATATTCACTGCTGGTATTGGGAATATACCACAGGCCTGATGTAACGTTCATTGGATGCCCGTTAACCTCAGTGAGCATATGGATCACAACCTAATTGAAATGTTGGAATTCTGCAAAGTATTACTCTAGATCTCCATCAAACTTGTATGATTAATAGGTCATTTTTATCAGAAAAAAAGTTGTGGTGATCCCGTGATTACATCAGCATGACTGGTGGCTAACTTTTCCGTCCTGGAAACCTTACAGCCTCATTTTTCAGAGGTGCTAATCACTCTCAAGTCTCACTCGGAACTCATATAGGCTGTCCTTATACCTCCCTGCAGGTCACATGCTCCCTCATCACATGATCCTCCTGTGCCCATTACCTGGGAAGTGATTCCCCTGAAAGTCCAGACACACTGGGGCATGCATGGACCCCAGGACTAGTGCATTGTTATAATCACATAGTCAGTGGGAGCTACAGGTATATAAGAAAGAGAGAAGTGAGTCTTTATTGGTTAGAAGTAGAGCACAAGCCTTAGACTTTTATTTCTCATACTGCCAAAAAGCTATTGTTCAGTTATTGCAAACTAATATTTAATGCCCCTAAAGACCAATTGTGTTGCATTCATTCGTGTGGACATCGTGGTTAATGGGCCAATGTTAAAGTAGGAAAGCCATGGCTTTTTAATAGATAACTTAGAAAGGTCTTTTACTTCTTGACCAAAACTGGTTCCCTGTCTGAGGGGAATAAGGAAAAAGAGAAAAGAAAAAAAAGAAAGAAAAAAATGTTCCCTCTAAACTCATAGGGCCAAATCTTCAGCTATACTGATTTACCCCAGCTGGCCCTAATATTTTTAGTTCTTAGCATTGTCTTATTTAGCAAATCTCACAGCATCATCTGGATGTTAGATTTTTCATTTTAACCTCTTTTCATTAAACTGCAGCCTATATCGAGAAGTGCAACACGTTAACATAGGCTAATGAATGTAAATAGGGTTTCCATGGCTTCTTTGAGCTTCAGACTAGGTTTATTTCCCCCCACCCCTAAATATTCTATAGGCTGCGGAAATATGTGCATAATCAGACACAAAGCAAAGGGTCCACTTTCTGAAAGAAGCAGAGAGATATTTCATATTGAGACTTCATAAGGATCATGATGGGAGTTTTCGGTTTTGTTTTAAACAAGCTCCCTGTCTCTGGTTAACTTAAGAAGCTTGTGTTCATTTGCAATTTCAGCATGAAAAGATATTTACAAACAAACAAACAGAGTTGGAAATGGTTCTGTGACAACATTTTGCCACAATAAACTGTTCGCCTTAACTTTTGTAAGAAAAACAAAAAACATACTAACTTTTCAGTGTATCTTTTCCTAGACTGAGAAAAAAGACAAAACAAACAAACAAAAAAATAGCCTGCGGAACTCTTTTATATTTTATATTTTCTAAATTTCTACTGATTTACTTTGCATGTCATGCCTAGTTTTCATCGAGGGACTATTGTCTGGCAAATCACTGCAACTTTTTTTAACAATGAAGAAAAAACATACAAAATCATGAAACACATTATTCTTAGTGGCCAGGCAATTCCTTTTAATTATAAGGACATCACTACAGAAAGGAAAGAATTACAGGGTTGTTTTCTTTTTTTATTTCCTGTGGCTGATGTACTGTATGCTCTATGTTTACAGAACTCTTCTGGTCTGCCTTTGTGATGTTATCTAAATGAATGACAAAAGAGGCATGATGTGCCATTTGACAGTTTGCCTTAGCACTCTTTCGTTTTTCTTCTTCTTTTCAGTTTTTTCCCAACATTGCAGGCTGTATTCCAAAGCTGTATAAAACACAACATTATCTTTCAATCCCCATAGCCCTATTAGAGTATACAAGCTCTTCTCAATTAAGCGACTGGAGTCCAGTCCATAGAGGTGCAATATAAGGCCCCAATCCTGAAAACACATAGGCATGCTTTTCTGTGAGGAGTCCCCTTTTAATCAATGGAACTCCTTGCAGTAGTAAAATTACTTACGTGCGTACGTGTTTTCAGGATCAGGGCCTAAAAGACTAACACAGGGTGTAGTTTGGGCATTATTTGTGTACTCACTCCAGTTTTATGCATTGCAGTACGACCCATTAACGGTGTGATCCTGAGATGTGTTGAGTGCTACGACTCCCATTGACAAAAACTGTCGCTCGCCATCTCGTAGGATCAGGTCCTGATTCAGTACCACTATATGACATTGCTGCTATTGCCCTTGTAATGTTGAATTAACACCCCCTGGAACTTTACTGAAGACTCTTCTGACAGTTTCTCCCCATTCTATTCAAGTTAACCAATGGCTCAGAGGTTATCTCAATACTGAAAAGAAAAATAAACTGTGAGCAAGTGACTTAGTGGGAGCATAATGATGGCATACAAAGGTGCTTGCAAAATAAAGGGTTCTTAATTAGCTGTGCATTACCTCTTCATTTAGTCTAACCTTCAAGTTGCATATTCTGAAAATAAGAGACAATATAATAGAAAAGGTAGTATTTTACATTTGTGTATTTTTTTAAGGAATCCTATTTTTATAAGGAAATACAGATCCTGAATGGGGATTGAATTTCAGAATATAGTCAGACCCAGGATACTGAGTCTCTTGGAACTTTTTTCATGATAATGCCCAACTTCTTGGGATCTTTTGTAGAGCAAACCTCACTCTTAGATCTGAAAGCAAGGTCACCAATTCTTTTTTTAAGAGAAATGTTGGGTAGAATCTAGTAAACATTATGGGACTGTTATAAACCCAATCAAGTCAATAAATTTATACCATAGACAAATTTGACCCCAGGTCTTCAACAACTAGATTAAAGAGATGTTTTACAACCTCATATCTTGTGTCTAGAGAGCCCTCATAGCAGCTAATAACTCCCTGTTATTAAAGAGTGAGAGAGAAGTGATTGAAAAAAGGGCAAAAAGGATGTGATTTTTTTTTTTCAATTTTTCCCCATTTTACTAA